CCTACAGATAGCAGACATCAATCATTCTATCTGCTCATGCTTATACAAGTAATTATTTAAACACTTTAAGTGACACCAACCTTTAGTTTTTCCATGTAGTCTCCAACAAATTCTATCAATTATATGTAGTACAAAATGTAGCTACAGTATTCATTACTGAGATAAGTTGTATTCTTTTATGTATTTGCAAAATTTTCTTCCTATTTCTATCTAATTAAATCAGCTCAAGGACTTGATAATATTGCACAGGAATGATGGATTGTCTTTTAATGGTACTGATAAAACATCCCATCAATCTTTTTTTAAACTGTTAAAATAGCAACATAAAAATTATATCTAGATGGAGCTATAATATTCTTTATATTTAGTTCTTAGAGTATCCAGTGACTCAGACAAGATTCTCATTCATTTCAAGTGGGCACATCTACATATTCATTAATACACTGTAGTTAATGCACATTAAGTTTAGTACTTCTATAACCAAGTACTAAATCAAAGTACAGTAGCACCAGCACATGGCTTTTTAGTGATGCTAACTCCATAATAGCCTAATACTACTGCACCTAATATTACTGTACAGCACCTCATTAGCTTGGTTTTAGCTCTACACGCTATTGCTCAGTAGAATTAGGCTACTGCACAGTTAGCGTCTCGTGTAGATGCACCCACTATGTTTTACTTTTTTGGAGTATCATTAGTTTTGGGGTGTAGGTTGTATGGGTGCAATCTTACTCATAAGTTTCTTTTCTAATACAAGTAACTTCATAGATCTAATGGGATCATTCACTGAGGAAGGAGGATAGTTTGAGAATTAATAGCCTCTAGCATTAGAATTAAATTAATTAATTTAGCAACATACACTGATTAAAATTAAGCATTTTTTGGCTAAGAGCTTTCTTCTTTGATACTTGTTTCAACTTCTTTCCTATTATTTTATTTTTGTGAGATTAAAATGACACCCTCAAACTTATTTCACTTTGTTATGGTTCAAATGAACAACTCTTAAGATAAGTGAACAGGATTTTGTCAGGTAGAAAAGTTTTCTAATTTTTAATTTTCTTTTGTTCTTTTCTAATAATTTAAAAAGAGGATTTGAAATATAAGCAAGGGTTTTATTTTCCTCAGGCTAACATGAATTTTTAAATATAGCATCACTTTACAGAAGTTAGCAGCTCCTCTATGCTTATCATTCTGTTAGCTTTTATTACATCTTTTCTCATTTTTGAAGCAGTGTTCTGTCAAATTCCTTTTCTTGCCTCATGCATTTCCTTTCAGTGCCCTGTGGTGGAATTTTAACTAAGCGCAAAGGGACCATTTTATCTCCTGGTTACCCGGAGCCTTATGACAACAATCTGAATTGTGTATGGAAGATCACAGTGCCAGAAGGAGCTGGGATTCAAGTAAGAATACATGTAATTGACTTGCTATTGTGTTTGAAGTTGATCTTTGCAAAGGTGAAAACATAAAAAGACAATTATTCATAAAAGTTTTACCAGATGATTAATAGCTGCCTAGTTTTGCTTTGGCATCCTTTCATCGTTGGGAGACGGTGGATATTGTAGCCTATGATGTAAATAGTTTGCAGTGTCTCATGTGACTGAATAGCCCAGTCTGAGATTTGCATGATCTGTGGCAGTGGTTACAAATGTATGTCATGGTTGGGTGGTTCGGAAGCTGCTTGCTTCCTACAGGCTCTTTTCTCTTTAAGCTGTTGGAGCCAATTTCTGTCATGGACTTTGATGTTCTGGTGGCAATAGTTGTAACAACAGAATCAATAGCTGCCACAACAGAATTTATTACACAGGTCTTTTTTACTAGAGAGATTCAAGAAATCTGAAATGATATAGTATCCACTTAAAAAATTAATTGCCAGAGACATTAACTGGAAAAATATTATTTCACACAGCAAATGCTTTTTTTTTGTTTGTTTTAAAAAGTGACTTTCTGTTTGTAAAGGACAAAAATTAACCAGTTGACTTTTGAAAGCGAGTTATACATTTTTTTTTATTTGTATGTCTGAGAAAAATAATTATTCACTCCTGTAGTAATATAATATAGGCCTGAAACAAAACCCATTAATGTTCCTGAAAAGACTTATTTCCTTCAAGAAACTTTGAATCAGGTCCAGCATGAAAGAAAGACTAAAATGCTTTCAGTAAGAATAAATAATGTCCCATTAAATGTTAGAATGCTTTAAAAGATCTGACAAAATCCTAAGACAACAGAGAGCCTGCAGATCTACTAAGATTTCCAGGTAACATTTGAAAAAAAAAAAATTGAAATTACTTGGTAAACAAGGGCATAGACAGATAAATATATATCCTATCAAAATTTGCATTGGTTTTATATGCTGAGATATATCCCACAGGGATCAGGAACAGACAGTTATACACTTAATACAGCTATCCTAAAGCAGCTCACACAGTAGATGGCTACTGCTGTTCCTGAGCATTAAATGTGGGGGGAGTGGGGAAGCAAATATGGCTGTTTTATGAAGCAGGCAGCTGAAGTCTAGACCCATGTAACTTAAATAGATGGCATTTTTTACACCATTGTTATCCCAGTTACTCCAGTGTAAACATTTCATCTGCCCATCTGGAACCAAAGTGTGTTGTTTTATTTTAGTTTTTAAAAAATCCTAATAAAATATAAAAAGAAAGCAAAATAAGTAGCTACATTTTCCATGAAAAGTGGTTAAAAGCAAAACAGGTAAATGATTAATACTAAACCAAGAATGTTTGTTGGATATTCTTTTTCTTGAATCATAGATGAAATACTGAAATTGGAAAATTTGCTAATGACACCTCATTACAGTAGGTTAATCAAGACAATGCATAAGTATAAGGAGCTTCAGAGGGTCCTAAAAAATTAAATCAGCCAAAAGCCTGGAAGACAGAATTCAGCTTTGAAAAGTTCTATGTAATGTATGTGGAAAGGAACAATTTAAATTTATAAGCAATGGATTATAACTTGTTTTTAATCTCAGGAAGATAAAATGAGGAATTAATTTTGGACAGCTTAATAAAATTGCCTTTTCAATGCATGGAGCTGAAAGTTAGTAAGGCCTTTTATTTTTTTAAGTAAGGGTTAGAAAATAGTATGATTTCTATAAATCACGTCTACATGATCATCTTGAATATTATATTCTATTTAGTTTAAGATATCTCAGAAATACTTGGTGAAAAGAGAAATTCTAAATTAGAACAGCAAAAAGCATTGCAATATAGACCAGGTTCACCAAAAGAATATGCATACCTTTTCCAAAAGTACCTGCATCTCAGTTTTTAAAGGTATTAGAATTTGTGTCTAATATTTCTAAATATTAGGTATTTAGGAATCTAAGTCCCATTCAGAAAGGACTCAGGCTTTTTCATCATTTAAGTCTAAATCCAAATAGGTATTATAGACCCCTAAAAAGGACTTAATCAGAACTTAACTACGTAAGCATGTGGACAGACATGATACTAGAATAAGTATTAAATTATATTGGTGTACACTGTTCAGTGATAATTGTTACATCTGTTTTCTCCTGTACCTTATAACTGGGGCTAAACATCAGTAGCTTTAAAACTATCTTGTTTTAAGTCTCTTGCTGAGACTTTGAGCAATTTTGCTGACCTACACCAACAAAGGAATGGACAGAAGTAAAAGTTAAATCAAAACAGCTACTGCATGCTTCTATATGGCAAGTCTCCCTATCCCCTTTCATGGTTTTTAACTTGCATCTCATAAAAATGTCTAAACAGTACAGGGAACTAAGAATAGTCAATATGACTCTCTAGACCAGTTACTCCGTATGTATTTTACTTTGGACAGTCGTGAGTTAAATAACAGAAGTAACCCTAAAAGCAGAAACCAAAAACTAGGACTTCAAAAACTAGGGGAATGCCCTCCTCATTGGGCTATAAAAGCATCCTCCCTCTTGTTTGATCTCTTTCTGGTCCTATGAGTCTTGCACCAGGCCCCAGCTTCTACGGTTGAGGTTGAACAAGACCATGATCTAGTCTAATTTGTAGTCTGGTGGTTAATATGCTGTTTTAAGTGGGAGACATTGGTTTGTGTCCCCTGAGGCTGCAGAAGCCTAAAACTCAGGTAAGTGTTCTGAACACTAACTATTGTGAAAAAGGTGGGTGGCAGCACTACTACCATTAGTCATGTTCAAGATTGAATGTTGGGTACTATTCTTCCTGTTGCTGTCATTGTTAAATGTGCTCATTCATATGGGTGCCTCTCCCTCAGGCATCTAGATGTCATGATGATGGGAGGACTTCTCCTGTACTCTTTAGTTGGTAGCCAAAGTTCTGAGAAGGCAGTCAGACTTTAGACACAACCCAGTACCCAGTGTTTTCTACTGTCTAGCTGTAGACATCTTTCTGTTCAGCACTTAGATATTCTAGGTCAAACCTGGTGTGTCTACACATTCATTAATGTGATTTTGCTACTGAGCATTAAATTTAGTACTCTAATGTGAGATACTAACTAAATGTACATTAGATTGTCCTAATGCACAGTAGCAAAAACACACTATTTTTAGTGATGCTTAATGCACAGTAGCCTAATTTTACTTTGCATTAGCGTATTAGCATGGTTTTTGCCGTGATGCTCTAATGTGCAGTAAAATAAGCTACTGCACACTAAAGTGCACATGTAGATACACCCACTTAGAAGGTACCTAGTACTCCCCATTCAGTTATTATAAGAATAAGAATAAGATCAGAAGTGCATTGGCAAATGGTTGAATCACCATCTGCTTTACCAGAAACATACCAGCTTATTCTTGGTGTAAGGACATTTGGATTACTTTACTTAACTGGAGCCTTGCCCACTCACCTCCTTTCCAATGTAGCAATCAGAGATATGAGGTAATGAGGAAACCTTCTCAGTATCCCAAGCTGCCATTTGATCATGATGAAAATTCAGGTCCTAAGCAGAGTAACAAGACCCCTCCAAGTTAGCCTCCAACAACATTTCTAGGCTGTTGTTTGTGGACTGAACAGGTGATTTATTTCCTCAGTGTCTCAGCTGAGCACTCTGCTGCTTCATTGTTGGTCATTCATTCATTCCTCAGTGAAAGGTAGATTATTCCAGTGGAATATTAGAATGATAGGAAAGTAAGGCAAAAAAGAACCTCACAAGGTCAGTGAGACGAGCCCCGTGCTCAAAGCAGGAACTTCTCTGACTATAAACCATCCCAGTCAAGAGACTAACTTGCTCCTAAAAAAAATCCAGGGAAAAAATTCTACAGTTTTTCTAGGTATCCTTTTCCAATGCTTGACAACCTGCAGTCAGAAAGTTGCTTCTAATTTCCAACTTAAATTTCTTCTACTCAATTTTAAGGCCATTTCTCCTAGTCCAGTCCCCAGCCGTAGAAAAAAAAAAAATCTCCATCCACTTTATAATCAGCCTTCAGGTATCTGAGGACTCTTGCCAACCGCCCTCCCCCTCCCCCCGCCCATTCTACTATTTTCCAAATTAAATAGTTCTAGTTCTTATCAAATTAAAGATCAAGCAACTTTTATTGGCCACACACACACACACACACACACACACACACACACACACACACACACACACACACACACACGTAAGCAACAACGCTACAATGCGTTAACATGAATCTGACCACCCTGCAACAATGTTGGGTGGAGTTTAACAACAGTTCTCAATCAGCTGACCATGCTGAGGGGAGGCTCCCGGGTTCCCGTGTCTGCGTTGATCATCCAATTTTTCTTGGGATGCAGTCTAGCTGAGAGACAACTTTGTTGTCCTTTGCTGTTTCTGTTATGACTTGTTGTGACATCATTGTTGCTACCCTATTTCATTTTTCTTAGCAGTTCTATCTAAGCACTATTCACAGTATTTATAGTGGCAGCCAGCAGCTGGACACCACAAACTTATTGCTCTTAATTCCCCAAGGTTGGTTCTTTATTGTTATTCTTTTACTGTGACTTCTTGGTCTGACTTTTTCCCTTATCTGCTATTTGTTTGTTCTGCTACGTCTCCATGTCTAAGTGCAAGCTATTTGAGCCAATCTGGGGTTCATCCAGAGGGAGCTCTGGCTACTCATGTCAAGTAGCTGCAATTATTCTGTATCTTTCTCTCTACAGTGCTGCCCAGGGCACTAATCATTTTTGTCACTCCCCACTGGACTCTTTCCAATATATCAACATCTTTCTTGAAATGTGAAGCCAAAAGCTTTACCTCACCAGTGATGAATAGAACAGAAGAATAATTTCCCTTGATTTGCAAGAGGCACTTATATTAATATTACCCAGCTATTTTCTTTATTTGCAACAATAGCATGCTGTTGGCTTCTATTCAGTTTATGATCCAGTGTAACTCCCCAGGTCCTTTTCTGGAGTACTGCAGCCTAGTCAAACATTCTCTGCCCTCCATTTGT